GGTCTATGGTGGGGTTAATGAGCTTACAGTGAAAGGGTTCACTGATGCCAGCTTTCAGAGTGACAAAGATGACTGCAAGTCACAGTCAGGGTTCGTATTCACCTTAAATGGTGGGGCAGTATCTTGGAAGAGTTCCAAGCAGGAGACAACAGCAAATTCAACGACAGAAGCTGAATATATAGCTGCTTCAGAAGCGGCTAAGGAGGCCGTGTGGATCAAGAAGTTCATATCTGAACTTAGGGTGGTTCCAAGCGTGGATGAGCCCATACAGTTGCTATGCGACAACACTGGAGCCATTGCGCAGTCAAAGGAACCTAGGTCTCATCAAAGATCTAAGCACGTGCTCCGCAGATATCACCTGATTAGAGAAATCATTGATAGAATGGATGTAAAGATGGATTATGTTCCCACAGATGATAACCTGGCCGATTCTCTGACAAAGGCTGTTTCTCAGAGAAAACATGATAGTCATTATGAGGCTTTGGGTATACGACTTAGGTCTGATTGGCTCTAGGCCAAGTGAGAACTTGTTAGTATTTGGGTGTCCTAGAGACAATCTTATGATTAAATAAGGACATAAATGTAGACCTTTTTAATATTGTCGCAAATAAATAAAAGCACTCTTATCTTGTTTCATAATTCTGTCTCGATATTAATGTTAATATATTATGAATAACTTGATAAACCCCGTGGAATAAAATAGGTATCTCTTGAGTATCTGTGATGAGATCACAATCATAAGGATTCAAGAATACCGGATGTTTATTCCTAATTTTATGTTCCTAGTCTAGAGATACTGAGAATGGGGTCAGTAATCTCGGGTAAGACTAGCACGACTTATCTATTTGTATATGGATACAAGGTATAGACCTCATGTGCTACAGATATGGAGATGTCTTAGCTAAAGTCGTGGGTAGACCTATAAGGGTATAGCTCGCACTGAACAGACCCACAAAGAAACTCTATGAGGAACTCCCACAGAGAGTATCATTAGAGTGGTCTCTTTATATTTGGGTATGTCTTTCCTAAGACCAGAAGTTATTACCTAGACTGTGTTCTAGAAGGCATGCTTTGATTGTGCACCTCGTCTGCCTGAAACATGGAGACTCATAGGTATACTGTTGGGCTTGTCCTGAAAGAACACAGGGCTAGGGTGATAAGCTGAAGGAATTCGTCAAATCTCTGTGAGAGATTAGGTTATCTGTAAACCGGAGAAATCAGGATGACATTTACAGGGACTCGGGAATCTATGCATAGTAAAAGAGATCATGAGATGATCTGCCTTTAGAGTCTGTAAATTGAAGATTCCCTATTTCGAATAAAGCTTACCCTAAACCGCATGGGTCGATACGCTTCCTTACCCTAGGTTTTATGGGAAGGTAACCGAGACGAAAGGAAATATATACGGCAACCAAATATGTGTAATAGGATGATCAAATCACTAATTTAACTAGTTCTGGGGCAACAAAGCATTGCTAGTGCTCTGTGTTGTCATTAGATGAGTTGTGGGCTTATTGGGCCCAAGCCCATTTATGTCAGTGGCTATGTTTGACCTAATAGGTCACACACTAACACCTAATTGTCTAGATGTTCTAGCATTAATGGTATTGGGCCTAACAATTGTTATTAGCCCAAGAAGTAGTTTGGAACTCCACAGATAGGGTGGAGGGCGCATGGATCTAAGTAATGAGTTTGGATAGTCCAAGACATTACTAATTAATTTAATTAGTTAAATTAATTATCAAATTTTTAAATTTTGAATTTGAATTTTGAATTTTGAATTTTGAATTTTGAAATTTGAATTTTGAATTTTGAATTTTGAATTTTGAATTTTGAATTTGAAATTTGAATTTTGAATTTTGAATTTGAAATTTGAAATTTGAATTTTGAATTTTGAATTTTGAAATTGAATTTAGAATTTGAATTTGAATTTAAAATTTAAGTGTTTGAAAGTTTGAATTCAAATGTTTGAAATTCGAATTTGAATTGGCTATGAAAAGTTTTTTCATAACAAAAGGATAAGATGAGATCTTGTTGGAACATATCAAGAGGAAATCTTTTGGACATAATCTAAGAATCAGCTCCAGAAGATACGATCTGTTGGGAGAATATTTGAGTGATTTGATTCAAGTTTGAATGCAACTACTCAAATGTATCTGGTCATTATTTAGGCTATATGGGGCACACCATATAACTGATTATATGATGATTTATGATCAGATATTTGATTAGGTTTTGAACCTAATATATCATAAAGATATGATAGGATGTTGTTGGCAAGATTTGATGAGATTTGATTTGCAACAAATCCTATTCTCTCTCTCTTTGATGGAGCGCCCTTTTGGAAGGGATTTTTATTGATTAAAAATCTGATTTGTTTTTAACAAATAGGCTCCTCTTGTGCGCCTCTATATATATGTTCCTTCTAGGGTTTTTAGAAAACCAACCAAGCCATTCTCTTCTCCTCTCCTGCGCCACTTTTGTGAAGTTTTCACATTGAAATCTTCACTCTTTCAAACACTTTTACCTAGCCTTTCTCTTCACACAATGTGCGCTTAGCAAGCCTCATTGTAGTGATCACTTGGCGGTTTCACAAGAAGAAGTTCTTGCACCTAGACGCAGTGGGTGGTGTGGATCAACGTTAGAGGGTCTGAACCCTTCAGACCTACCTTGATCATCATGAGTTTTCACGAACAAGGTAACATCATGCTTTCCTAAAGCATGATCTTGAATGCATGTGTGTTCCGCAATGAAAAAGTTTTGTTTTTCCCTCCAGCATGCATCGGCCTTCAAGGCCATTTCCAACTTTCAGTCCAAACCCCCTATTTGCGTCTACGTCAGTCCTACTGACCAGAGACTACCAACTCTCCTTCCCTTTTGTCCCCCGTGCGACAGTATCCCCAAGGTAGGATATCATAATACCTTATCTTGGGATACCCACTCTACTAAAGGGTCTCCCCAAACCCCCCCCAAATGGAAACTTCCCTGCTACAGAGGTAGTAGCAGAGGTAGTAGCAATGATTTCCACCATCTTAGCAGAGACTGCATTGCTGTCACCACAGCAATGTCAGCCACCCCTAACACCCCCCGAGGAGAGTTGACTCAGCTCACCCTCCTATGTGAGCTGGGCATCTTCTCCTCCTATAAGTATCTAGGGGTGTGCAACATAACCAACACACTGAACCGAACCATGAACCGAACCAAACCACCCTTAAAATAACCGATTTTTAAAAACCAGTTCATGAACCGAACCGGTTTTTAGAACCAGTTTAAGAACCGAACCATTTTGAACCGAACCGAACTGAACCGTTTTCGAACCGAACCGAACCGAACCGTTTTCAAACCGAACCAAATTGATTTTTATAACTTTATTTTTTAATTTTTTAATTTTTTTCTTTTCAAGATAGGGTTGACCCGAACCGGTTCCGAACCGAACCATTTAAACCAATTCGGTTTGGTTTTTCAAAAAATTCGGTTCGGTTGGACCTATGCACATCCCTATAAGTACCCCTCCATCACCGGACAAAGGGGTATCTTATGTGCCGTTACTCTGCCAATTTCTCTAAGTCCTAACTATCCCCCCCCCCCCCCCCCCAAACTTACGATTTACACCCAATACTTGAGACGTTGCTATTTAGCGTGGTCTCTACCTTTGTTGACGGCAACATTCATATAGTGATTCACATCTGCTCTAAGAGAACATATTGGACTTATAGTACTCTGCGTACAAATCTTAACTCTAGAATATGGTTAGAGTATCACTTGTTGAATAATAACTATAAATTTAGCAAAATAAGCATATGTAAATTTGGTTATTTGTTCAAGAACCTTAACACACTTGATTCCAAGTCTCTTTCATGGTTGCTTGTACCTGGGTTCAAGTGTCATTCAAGCTGCTTGCCTTCCTTCTAACTTTCACCCCCACTGCCACATTTTATTCCTCCACAGGTTATTAAACCTACACATTGCAGGTTAATGTTTGTATTTACTATGGATAAAAATCTTTAATATATATATATATATATATATATATATATATATATATATATATATACATTTTAATAATATATTAAATATCTAGTATATTAAGTGTATGTTAGGTAACAACGTTAATGAAAAAAATAATCATTTTTTTCTCAAAAGCTTTCTTAAAAAAGCTACTATAAATTATTATTTTTAGTTTCAAAATAAGCTAATTCATATATATATATATATATATATATATATATATATATATTGACAAGAAAATAATTTTAAGTCACTATTCTGTTTTAAAATGTAAGTTAAAAAATATATCATTTTGCAATGACAACGACATTACATATGGTTGTCATAAAGTAGTTATTTTGTTAAATATCTTAATAGTGCATGCATATCATCTCCCTTTTTGTAATAATTTTTGTTGATAAAATAATCATAATTTCAGTGTAATTACTTTGTTATAAAAGATTTATTAAAATTTTATAAGAAATTTTACAGAGTGACTATTTGTTAAAATATAATTGAGCAAGAAGTAAACTTAAGAGGATAAATATTGAGACAAAAGTCACTTCATTGAAGGGAACAATGTCCCCTGACGCTTAGAAATAATTACCTCCGAAAACATTTAGTTTAACATATTTAAAATGCTAAATTAGTCAGAAGTGTAAATTTTGAGGCAGCTTCTAACCTATAACTTCATAAATCAGTTAAATATTTAACAAAAAAATATCATACACAATTAAAATTTTCTTACAAAATACAAAGAAGTAAACAAAATAAGATAAAAGAAAAGAGCATAACACAGAAGTAGGGAAAACAGGAGAAAGAAACCTCTGATCCGCCTACGTGGTTTATGCGCCAGTGATTTTATACAACCTGTTTCAACCTATAATTCTTAAGTAACCCACAATGACAAGATCAGATAGATTTCAGTTATTCAATATAATGTAAGTTTTTATTCCCCAGCTTCCCCAGCTTCAACTAGCCAAAACTACAGGGGAATCCAATGACAGAATGTACTATAAACAACCAGTAGTACCTGCATATTGTAGTGACCTCATATCATGGCATTACTCAAGATACATATTTCTGTCTCTAACATGATATGCCAATGTATTCATTTGGGACAATCTTTTTACCATTCACAATGTCGTCAAATAGTAATACATGGCAATATTTTCATCAGTATGCACATGTGCACATCAATCAGCAAAATATCACTTTCTTAAATTAAGCCAGGAATAATGAATACAGTAGTTTTATCTGAAACCAACAGTACTATCTTTATCCAGTATTGACATGCAAAACAGTCAGATAATTCTTTATTGGAGCAAACACAGAACAGCTCATGACCAAACTTCAAAAGTAATTGCTTTTGTAGAAATTCTTTAGAAACGGAGAGATGCCCTCATCTTTTGTGCCCAAATCCTGCACAAGCCCTTCCCGACCAACTACGTACTGACCAATGATATGATGCCTCTGCTTTGAATGTTCCACAACGTTCCTCAGCTCTTCCATTCCCTTGAAAAGCATCATATCGATCACCTGAATGTCCACAAATATTAGTGATATTAATAAACTTTCATAGCTAAAATTCTTTTGCCTTTACTGAAGCATCATATTAATACATCATTTTCAAACACTCTGAATGTATTACTGGCCTTGATGCATTAAATCCATGACATACTGGACAAAATTTGAATATAAACAATATGTGCGAGTAGAATACATGGCTTCCTTTACATGGAAGGGAAAGCAGCATATCAATCACGTGAATGTCCTCCACAACTATTAGTGATATTGATAAAAGCATTCATAGTTTACCTTTACTGAAAAATCATATTAAAACATCATTTTCAAAGTCCTTGAATGTATTACTGGCATTGATGCATTAAATCCGTGACATACTGAACCAAATTTGAATAAATAGTTAAATACAATATGTGCAAGTAGAATATATGGCTTCTTTTGCGTGGAAGGTGTTAGAATATTAGATATGATATGATTAGATATGATTGGATTCCGTCTTATCCGTAAATATTCTGACTGTATTCTGACTGTATTAGGATTAGGTTTGGGCCTTTCACTTAAGCCCATTAGGGTCTCTATATATTGTAACTCTCTGACACAGATCAATACACAACATATTATTCTTCTATTATTTTATATTCAAGTTGGTATCAAAGCTCTTTCGTTCTGGGAACCCTCGCTTCCGCTTAGAAACCTTGTTTTTTGCTTTAAAACCTAAGCCCACTGCTTAGGAGTCCTCTTTCTTGCCGTGCGTCCTTCCGGCAAGCCTTCTAGGGCTGTAAACAGCCTTTGAGTGATTTTTCCAAACGCGTCAGCACCTCCGACGGCCACCGGAACCACCGCCCACCGTCAGAATCACTGTTCAGGCAACCGGAGACTTTTTCCGGCTACTTTTCTGACCAAACTTCACGCGATCAGGACCCTCTCTTCCCGGAAACCAGGACTGTGGTGGTCCGGTCAGCAACGCATCTCCCACGCGCCGTCACGCGCCACCTGTCTTCTCTGCGCGTGGGCTTCATGCGCCACCTTCTGCCGACGCGTGAGCACTATTCCGGCGGCTTTTTCCGGCCGGTCTTGGACAGAGAAGCTCGCCTTCTCCTCCCCTTTCTGGATCTGTGATTGTTTCTCTGTGGGTCTGACCTTAGACGCGTGGTTCTTCTTGATTGGATATCGTTTGCCTTCGTTTACGGCTTTTATATTTTATCTTTAAATGGCAGCAGCATCTCCTGATCTCTCGGAGGTTAACTCTCCTTCTATTGTTGCAAATATAGCTCAGTCAGACAATGCATCATTTGGTTCAGGTTCGGACTATGCTGCACTCCAAACCCCTCTCAGGAAGGCTTCTCCTCAGTCTCAGCCTTATACTGGTAATCCTGTTGCTTGTGTTTCTCATTCTACATCACTTGGCACTTGGATATTTGACTCCGGTGCTACCGATCATCTCTGTGGTAATAAGGAACTCTTTACATCTCTTACTTATTCTGATCATTTACCATCTTTTACCCTTGCGGATGGAACCAAAGCCCCAGTTCGTGGGATTGGACAAGCTCGTCCGACCTCTACCTTGGCCCTGACATCTGTCTATTACATTCCTGGCATCCCTTATAACTTAATTTCTATTAGTAACTTGGGCCTTGTTTCTGCTCCTCCAGAGAAGTCTATAGTTGGTTGTCGCTGGGTTTTTACTGTGAAAGTTGGACCTGATGGCCATATTGATCGTCTCAAGGCATGTTTAGTTGCCAAGGGTTTTACTCAAATCTTTGGCCTTGATTATAGCGATACATTTTCTCCGGTCGCTAAGATGGCGTCAGTCCGCCTCTTTCTTGCCCTTGCTGCTGTTCGTCACTGGCCACTCCTTCAACTTGACATCAAAAATGCCTTTCTTCATGGTGATTTACAAGAAGAAGTTTTCATGGAGCAACCACCTGGTTTTGTTGCTCAGGGGGAGTCTGGAAAGGTGTGTCGTCTTCGGAAATCCTTATATGGTCTCAAGCAGTCTCCTCGAGCATGGTTCAGTCGCTTCAGTTCTGCTGTTCAGGCGTTTGGCTTAATCCGCAGTAAAGTTGACCATTATGTGTTTTATAGAATTACATCTCCTGATAAGTGTATCTATTTGTTAGTCTATGTTGACGACATCATTCTCACCGGAAGTGATCAAGACGGAATTCGTCAGTTAAAACAGCATTTGTTTAGTACATTTCAAACAAAGGACCTTGGGAAGCTGCGTTACTTCTTGGGAATTGAGGTGGCGCAATCCAGACAGGGCATTTCTATCTGTCAAAGGAAATATGCCCTGGATATCCTAGAAGAAACTGGTATGTTGGGTAGTAAACCAGTTGATACACCTATGGATCCTAATGTCAAGTTATTGCCCGGACAGGGGGAGCCGTTATCTGATCCTGGACGTTATCAGAGGCTAATTGGGAAGCTCAACTATCTTACTGTGACTAGGCCAGATATTTCTTTCGCTGTTAGTACGGCTAGTCAGTTTCTTGATTCCCCTTGTGATTCACATTGGGATGCTGCTGTGAGGATCCTCCGATACATCAAAGGAGCACCAGGAAAAAGTTTGTTGTATTCAGATCAGGGAAATACAAAAATTTGTAGTTATTCAGATGCTGATTGGGCAGGATCACCCTCGGACAGACGCTCTACTTCTGGCTATTGTGTCTTCTTTGGAGGAAACTTAATTTCGTGGAAGAGCAAGAAACAACCTGTTGTTGCTCGATCTAGTGCAGAAGCTGAGTATCGTGCAATGGCAAATGCTACCTGTGAGTTAGTCTGGTTAAAGCAGTTGATTCAGGAGCTTCATCTTTGTGAACAGAAACAACCCATGACACTCATCTGTGATAATCAAGTTGCGCTACATATATCATCTAATCCTGTCTTTCATGAGAGGACCAAACATATAGAGATTGATTGTCACTTCATTCGAGAAAAGATTCAGTCAGGAGAAATCAAGACTGCTTTCGTCAATCCTCTGATCAACTAGCGGATGTTTTCACTAAAGCTCTTAGAGGTCCTCGGGTTGAATACATTTGTAACAAGCTTGGTGCTCATAATATATACGCACCAGCTTGAGGGGGAGTGTTAGAATATTAGATATGATATGATTAGATATGATTGGATTCCGTCTTATCCGTAAATATTCTGACTGTATTCTGACTGTATTAGGATTAGGTTTGGGCCTTTCACTTAAGCCCATTAGGGTCTCTATATATTGTAACTCTCTGACACAGATCAATACACAACATATTATTCTTCTATTATTTTATATTCAAGTGAAGGAAAGAGGCACACAACCCAAGCACAAAAAATCATGAATCCATGCTTGAAAGTTTCATCTTGTCGAAGGACCAAAGGAGGAATCAGACAGGTCTTCAGACAACACCAAACAGTAATTTAGATGTTACAGAAAAAGCAGGCATAAAAATTTGAAAAGATATATGGTGACTTACAAAAAGACAATAACTTCAATTGCTTTTGAGTGATTATTTCCCAACAAATCCAAATACACCACTCAAAAGCATCTGGCAATTCACTAAGACATGGATTTGCAAATACCTAATACAGTTAAATTTGAATCAACTTATTTGTGGTTTACCAACTATGAACACACAAAATTTGGTCCAGAATTGTACTAACTTGGACCCTAAACTATATTACAGATCAGCAAAACTTAGTCCATCTTTTTCATATCTTTCTATAATGACATGGATAAAATCAAATCCATAATCCCCGCCTTCTTGAAATTCGTCAAGAAGACACCAAATCAATGAGTTACAGGCTCTACAGTACTGTTTATTAGGTAAAAGTTATCCTCTTAGAAATTGTGCCACTAAATTCTAAGGCTAGAAAATCCTACATACCAACCCGATGAATTGGAATGCAGAAATTATTAGAAAGGAAATTTCAATAAGCTCAACTGCATATTAGAAAACTCTGCATTTTCTAAGTGTTTCATCAAGCAAAGTGCCACTATTAACCACTACCACTAAACAAAATCTAGAGGCTTCAAATACCTGCTGATATTATCCCCAAAACAATTCATAGTACAACTGACTATCACAAAACAAATTCAATGAGTGAAGAACACTAAATAACCTACATAAGAATTTTCATACAAACATGTTTTAACCTCTTCAAGCCAGAGACATAGGTTCAAGGTATTCCATTTACAAAAATTGTTTCCTTCAATGGTCAACTAAAATCTTCACCAAAAATCCATTCAAATAACTCAATAAACTTCCTTCTTTTAGAATTCCTCTTGACTTCAATCAAGCAAGTTGGTTCCAAATCCAAATTTCAAAGCATCAAATGGACATTCCATTTAATTTGCACAACAAACCTCGAATCGAATCCCCACAAATTCAGCATACATTTAACCTAAAACGCTTGAAAGTACACTAGCGGGGAAAGAGAAGGCTGCGAATCAACAAAAGGAAATGTTTTCCAAATATAAAAATTGATTCAAACAAGTATCCGATGAATCATAATGTTGATTAACAGAAGCATAAGTTAGCTCCATAGATTTAACAATTCTGAATCCCTAGAGTTTCGAGCATTAAGAGTTTATTTCAAAGAGGACTGAGTTTCTTAGAGAAACACGAATCGAAACTTGTGAAATACAATAAAATCAAATCCATTATCATCGAACACTCAAGTGGTGTCGAATAAATAACAATCCCCAAACACTGCCTTAGACAACTAAAATATAACCGAAACACTCGTTTGAGAAAAATTCAAGTTTCAATTAAGAAAATTCTCCCAAACCAAATAAAATATAAAATTCAATTTTGAGTTTCCACTACTACAGTCACAACCAATAATTAAACGAATAAGAAAAGAATATTCAATTTCGAATTTAATAATAATAAAAAAGAGTAAGAAAAAGGAAAATGGAACCTTGGTATCGGTGACGTGGGTGTTGCAGCGGATCTGGGAGGCGACGGCGGAGCGAAGCTGGGAGATGGTAGCGACGTCGTATAGGTTATAGATTTCCATAACGGTGGGTAAGGATCGGCAAGCTGCTCTGAAGAAATCGAAGACTCGTTGCCTCGCTTCCGCTAGATTCGCAGAGTTCGGAGCCACTTTCATGTTCCGAAGCGCGCTCGCCATTGGAATCCTAGAAAACTCGCTCGCTCGCTCGCTCACTGAGTCACACCACTCAACTCAACTCAACTCAACTCAACTCGGTTCGCTTCTTCTCAAGTGATGTTGTTGATGCTAGAGACTAGAGAGAATTAAAACAAAGTGATTGTGGGGGACACGAGCCGAACGGCGTCGTGTGGAGTTTGGGTTTCTTGCTGACGCCACGTATGCAAACTCACTATTCACTTTTATAGTATAGTTACCACCTTTACAACTTTTAGAGTTTGCACTGGGACGTAGTTATTATCAAATAAGTTTATCATTTTTATAATTAATTTAATTATTGTTAATTTGTCTCAATCTAACAGTTATAATTTATTAAAAATTATTTGGTTATATTTATTAATTAATTATTAATTTTTAATAAATTCAATAAATTATAACTGTTAGATTGACAAAAATTAATGATGATTAAACTAGTTGTAAAGATAGTAAATTCTTTTGGTGGTAAGTATATCCTTCCCTTATATAAGCCATAAGCTTTTTTTTTTTTTTTTTTTGGTATTTAGTATAAGCCATCATAAGCTGTAATTAGGGGTGTAAATAGGTTAGGTTAGGCTAGACTTTGACTTAAATAAGCCAGGCATGTGTAAAAGACCTTATGTCTGGCCTGACCTGTTAGCCTGTGTAGGTCCCAAATTACAAGTCTGACCTGACCTATATTTAAAAAATAAAAGCTTTGACCTAAGCTTGTTAGCCAAATAACTAAAATAATATTACTTTATTATTCAAAATTATTAAAATAATAATTTTATTTATTTTATTTAAAATAAATAATATGATATATGCCGGTCTGTAGGCTTATAGGCCCGACATGTACAAAAAAAGCCAATGACTTGCTTTCTAAATAGGCTTTTTTAAAAGTCTAGGCCTGTTCTATTTGACTATTTGTAATAGGTCAAACCTAGCCTAATATAGGCTAGGCCGTAGGCCGGCCTAACTTATTTACACCCCTAACTGTAGTTATATAAAATTTAACACAAATTTTATATTATGTAATATTTGGTGTGATATGATATAACATAATATTATTATATATTTGAGGTAATCATCCAATGAAATTCCCACCCTTTATTTTTTTTAAATTTGCTGGGTTCCACCATGTGATGTTTGTGTATGAGAAAAAATTTCTCTCACGTAACCTAAAAAAAAAAAAAAAAAAACTCTATATGTTTAGTAATGTATCGTATAATAATAAATCAAATCACTAGATATAGTGATGAGGAATTTAAATAATTGTATGAGATTATAGGTTTAAACCTTTATGTTACATTATATCGAAAAATAATGAATAGGATAAAAATATAAGAATACTCTTTATTTTCAAATATATTCTATAAATATAAATTTAATAATTTTTAGAGAAATAAAAGTTTTTAAAGTCATCGAAAAAAGTCATGACTATTATGTACATTCAACAAAAATAAAATAAAATAAGATAAATCAGTTCTGCACATAAAGATTAACAAAATTCTGATAAGAATGTAGATCTAGTGACACATTTAGAATGATCCTATAGGAGTCCTAGATGATTACAATGATCTAAACTTATATTTATGTATGTTTAATATATATATTTTTTAAATAATCACATCATTTAGTTTTATTCTTTTTTTTTTGGTAAACTTAATTTTGTTCTTTTTACTCTCTATGCTTTATTATATAATAAATACTAAAATTTAACTTTATTCTACTATTTTATATGGTTTATATGCATAGTTAATTAATTAAAAAAAACTATTAAATTTTTTAACATTAATCAATTTTTTGAAGGAAAAAGTATTTCTCCTTTTATCTTCAATAAGCCCAAAACGACGTCGTTTTGAGATTTTAAGATTAAAAAATTACAATGATAAAAACTAATATAACCTTGCAATAAATTAGAATTATAAAAATATCTTAATTCTGTCTCAAAACGACGTTATTTTAGACTCGCCAAAAATAATTTCTCTATTAACTTGAGAAATGTTTTACTCTTTTTCGAAACGAATCAATTTTATAATGTGAAAAAGTTTCATACTCAACTTTAACAGAACTACAATATATTTAATTTTTAAAATTAAAGTTATTTATATTAATTTTTATTATATTAACTTTCTTTAACACATGGAGTAAACTCAATTTTGAATGATAATATAAACAATTAATCCAATTATACAAAATAATATTTATATATACAAGTACAGTTCAAAAATATTCCTTTGATCAAATTGTATTAATAAAAATTTTCCTTGGGAGACTTTTACCATGTTAAAAACCTACCCTTGTTTTAACTTAGGGTTTTATTAATCTCCTTCCACATAAGATAACTATCTTATGTGGTAGGGAGAAAATAGGTGGGTCCCACCATTACAAGAAAAAAGAAAAAGAAGAAAAAAATGGGATGCGAAAATCGAAGTGAGAGAAAATGAGATAAGTTACCTCATGTAAAAGGAGAGTAATATTTCCCTTTAACTTATCCACAACACATAAGCTGCTCATGTACCATCTATGTTATAAATCTATATACAGTATATATCTTTTATGGCTCTTTTACCTATTTGGCGTCTATGACCACTCAATACACTTAGGGCCGGCAAAACGGGTTCGGTTCGGCTGATCGACCCGTCCCGCCCATCAAACAGAGTAGAGTTAGGGGTGACAATTTGGGTTGGCCCACCCCGACCCGCCACCAACCTGCCAAAAACGGGACGGGACGCGTTGGCCTGCCATTAAATATGGACTGAAAAAATGAATCTACTCCGTTTTATGGTGGGTTCACGGGTCAACCCACCAACCCGCTAATTAAAAAAATAATTAAATTTAAAAATTATATTATATTTTATGAATTTTTCTAGTATTATTTTATTTTATTTCACACTTGTCTTAATTTTTTCAGTCTCAATCTTAAATGTATACTAATATTTGTTAAACATTCTTTAGGAACTCATTTGTCTCCATATATAGATAACATTTGTCATAAATAAAATTGTTATTCTTTATTTTTTCTAGGAAGTACTAAGATAAATTTTTTTTGGATATCACAAAATTTAATGACAAATGAAATACAACCTAATTGTTAAAAAAAGAAAATTATAATCCGGCGGGTTGAACCCGTTTTGACCCACTTCTAGGTGAGGCAGGTTGAAGTGGGTTGAAAACCTCAACTCAACCAGCCTTGTTTTGGCGGGTAGACCCGTCGGGCTCAACTCATATTGCCACCTTTAGGTAGAGCAAGCTGAATTTTTTACAATCCATTTTCAAAAGCGGGACAAACTCATTTTTTGACGAGTTAATGACAAGGAGGAGTAGACCGAGACGAGTTAGTGTAAAATAAAAGCGGACCAACCTACTCTGTCCATCAAATGAGACAGAGCAGCCTGACTTATTTTTTGACGGATTGATGGAACAGAACAGACGTTCACTTTTACCGTTGGGAGGCGTTAAGTTTGGTCCCAGCAGGAGTCTCGTGCCCTTCCCCAGCGGAAACCATTTTTTTTTTCTTTCTTTATTTTTTGCCCCCTCACCTCCGATGGAACTGATAAAAAATTCTGCCTCTGGTACCGCATGTGAATTCCTGCCTTCTAACTCCGACTTCAATATCAGTGTAAGTGTGGTCTATTGGGAGCTGTTTAGTCATTGGTGGATGGAAGCTTTCGAAAAACAATTTTCAGGTCAAAACCAACAAATACCATTGATTCAACTATGCTTCCCCTCACTCTTCTCAATGTAGTCGATTCATCTTAAGTCCTATTCCATACTGAATAACCAGAAAAAGAGATTGCTAGATGTCCCCACCACTACCATGCCAACAAACATCATGAGACTTCAATGTTAACGAGTATCCCAGAGAGTCATTATGATCTGGTTTAGTGTTTATTTATTTATTTAAAAAAAAAAAAAAACCAATTCCATTGGGGAGGGAGGCGAAACTAATTTTTCGTTTTTTAAGAAAAAAAGGAGTTCCGCAAGGAAAAAGGGGCTGACTGGTTGAAAAAAGAAAAAGAAAAACAGCTTCCGCTGGGATAAGAGGTGATACTCAAACCCGCTGGTACCTCCTGGCGGAAACAAACGCCCCCAATGGTAAAATCATGCTACTCAATACCAAACAGGTAAAAAAACACATGGAAAAACCCCAAATGGATCAAAGAGCCTATCTATTACCTATCTATTTGGATATTAAACTTTCTGATTAAAACAAATCTCCAATAACAGTCACGCTTAATAAGAACCTACACACTCCTTTTACACCATTTAAGTTACCTCCAAAACTTTGTATATTTATCACTATTAAGAGTTTAAACAGTAATAAAAAGCAGCAATTATTATTATTGAGCTCATCATCATCAATAATCCATGTCACCCCCTTCAATCACTGAATTGAAGCATTTCCAGTTATTAGACATTTGCCCGAAAAGAATACAAGGTTGTCATCATCAGTGGGATTTTCAACAAAAAAAAGATGCATCACAGGGAGATCATTCTATTATTCCCAAGCATGATTATTCAATTGGTAGTGCTATTCAACTCTCTCATGTAATATAATTATCCAGTCTTACACAGAAAAAATCTTATACCAAGCATATTTAGTTTCAAGGGCCACAATTTAAGATTGAACAGAAAGCCCACATCTGTATAGTAAATGACAGTGGGTACAGAGAATTTAATCTATTGATTCTTGGAGGACTATTGTTTGTTAGCAAAATTACGTTAAAATTTACATTTCACCGCATTCAGCAATGACGCAAGCTAATTTTGGCCGGTTATTGGGTCCAGTTGCAACATTCTCAATCTTCCTCACAACCAAAAGACCATCTCCAAGCACTCTCTGCATAAAGGGTAGACAGGTAAATGCACTACACAACTACAGTTTATGAGAAGAAAGATGAGAGTAACATTTAAAATAAGGCCACATTTAAAGATGTATATAAAATATTTTTACAAGGCAAGTGAAATTTCTTTTTAAACAATAACTGAACAATGAGCAGGGCATGTCAAGAAAATGAGCACAACTTAAGCTAGTCTTCCACTCCAAGGGAACATGACAATGACATGACACTTTTTCCGTTACAATCAGACATGAAATAATACACACTCCGTGTATACCTCACGGAAAAAAAAAAATAACATTTGACATGCCTAGCTTAAATTTGATAATGGCTTAGGTTTAAGCTTTCCCCAGGAATTTCAATTGCACTTATATTCATCACTGTAGGAATTGGGTTCAAGCTTTCCCTAGCCCCTTCTCATCAATGGACTCGTGACGTATACGAAGGAGTGCGGTTCGTTTGATAAATTCCTACCTCTATCTATTTCTGAGATGTTTGGAATTTTGGATTTTTCAAAACTCCATGGACATGCAGAAGAGAAATGTTATTCCCACTTGGACCAAGACATCACTTTTCTTGTTCAAATACTAATTAAGGTGAAGCAGAGTCAGGAACAATGAATCCCTTTATGAAAAAAAAAGATTTATTTTGCAAGTTCATTATTATGGATAGTTTCTACAAAGGATTGGACTAATGACGTAGACAATACTTGAATTCTCGATGTAGATGCTACAAAGTTGCTTCTCATCCTTCAAAGACTACAAGTATAATAGGAGCATCCGTTGACAAAAAGATCACCCTAAGATGATCATCTCATGTCTATGGAGAACGAATCAAATTATATGGTTCTATTTCTCGATCTTTTCGACCTCGATTCTATAGGAGCAAATCATAAAGATTGAAAAAAATCGATTTATTCAGCTCTAAGGTTTAAAGTATCATTCTAAGTTTACAGGTCTGATGAGTCTTGCACTCTTGCTACCCAAATACCCCACATCCTAATTTGAAGGGGCATGCAGACATAAATCATGAGGAAAAGTAAATTTACATGTTGCCTGTTTGAAGAATAATATATGTGCAACAGAAGATATTCGAGCATACCCCAAAAACGACATGCTTGTTGTCAAGCCAATCGCATTTTGCACAAGTTATAAAGAACTGCAAGCAAGAAGAGAAAATTCATCAGTTGAAATAGAGGTTTACAAATTTAACAATATCACTGAGAAAAGGGAAGAGGAAGGGAATGACCATTGAAAAGTTACCTGACAACCATTGGTATTTTGTCCGCTATTTGCCTGCAGATTAGACAAAGAGGACTTAATCCTTCTTTATGTTGCAATTAGTTAAAGCATAATTAGCCATACAAATTCAATCAATTGATGGCATAATTGATTTAACTTTAGCAAAATAAAAATAATATGCTTTCAAAGCGTTCAGGAAGCAAGATTCTTGTAAGTTAACTTATTAGGAAATATCTTTTAGATATGTTTATATGTGTACAGTCAATTAATGCTCTAATTAAGGAGCTATTTCAGGAATTGATAACCATTGCAATTACGACCGTAATTAATAACATAATGGTACAAATGTGTCCTTGTGTGGCCTGGATTAGACACTATTCCATCAATTTCAAATAACCCAAAACGACAGCAGGTTGAAACAGAAAATACATACCATTGAGAGAAGACCAGGGCCAGTGTGTTTGGCAATAAAATTTTCATCATCAAACTTGAGTCCATAAATGGAAACACATCCACTACCATCACCCTTCCAAGGAAGAATATATTAGTAAGAATTTCATAACAAAAAAAGGATTTACTTATATTTTTGCTACTAACAATATTTAAACACGCAGTACAAATCTTATGAAAGGGAAGGCAGAATTGCATTCAGAGTAGATTCAGTAGATAGATCAATACATCTACATGAATAGTGGCACTAAACTCATGCACCACTGACAACAATTGAAATTAAACGCCAAGTATCTCATAAACTCAAGCTCCAAACTAAAAACTCATAACTATTTGTGATATTATTTACATGAAGATAGCACACAAAATTTGTGCAACTATAATAATTTAGAACGAAGATTGAGGGGCTGAGAAGCTGTTATTATTTATTCAGAGTAAAGAATGATGGGCTCAGAAGAAATAAAACATCAAAACCTAAGACATAAGGGAGAATCAATGAGCTATTGTCAACATCAATATCAACATCATCTTTATCCCAAACTAGTTTGGATTGGTAATCGATGAACTATCGTCAAGAGAATAATTTAAATAGAATAGGAGTGCTTCATCTGAAGAATTGACTAAGATGATCTGACAATAGACAACTTTGAAATACATAACCACAACAAACAAAGAGAGTAAAATGATTCAGTGGGAAGGTGAAAGATGAACAACAAACACGTCCAGCAATAAAAGTAGATCTATGAGAACTGCCTATCTACATTAGGAGGATGCCTTTTATCCTCTGGTTACAGCTTTTGCCCAACAGTCTAACCGCCAAGCTACCCTCACGTGACTTTGGCACTCTCTTCCTAGAATATAACTTCCATACCCCTGGATTCCCCCCACATCTAATTCCTATTGTATCAAATGTATAAATGAATAAAGCATTAATTAAGTTAAATTGATACATAAATATTCAAGACAATGATATCAAAGTTCATATTATCTCTGGGTATTATTTAGTTTGAGTATCATTATCCTTTTGTAAAATTAGGGGTTCAGTTACATATAGAGGCTACCACTACTAGCATGCCTTCTAATATTTGGACATATAAGTGAAGTTACGTAAGATAGTTTCCATAAAATATTGAGCAAGAAACTTGGACTTTATAATTAAGATATATGTGTGATGCATCTGATATAATCAGACCATATGAGTTAACACAAACACCCCTGCTATCGCATAGCATATGTAAAACAGATGCAGATTTAACTGATCAGAACAGTACCTTTACAAAATCACCAGCCTGAATCATAAAATCCTTAATCACCCTATGAAATTGACAACCCTTATAACCAACAGGCAGTCCCGCTTTCCTGCCAATAAAATCAGATCATAAAAAGTATTAGGTAACCTCCTCACCTACCAAAGAGGCAAACATACCAGTAACCATTTGGCATTCAATAAGAGGATGAATCAGCACACAATTAACTTATAGGGAAGAGGAGGGGAAAAGTAAACTCATAAAAATAACAATTTAACCCCCCATCCCCCCAAAAGGTTGTCAAACTTGAAGATCCTACCTAGGATCAAATCAAACAGGTGGGGGTGGGAGGGAAGAAATGTAAAATGTAAAACCAACACAAATAAGAATAAGACCTTTAAAATCACGACTAACATTTAAACAAGCTTTAATTCAAAATAGGTGTCTTGTACTTTGATTTCAAATTTATTTTTGTTAGATCTACAACCCTAGCCTATATTTGGTTCTTATACTTAGTTATTATAATAATTATATTTTTCTCTTATCTCTCCCATCCCATTGGCATCCACTAGCAGCACAGATGCAGAGGACTGAGGAGCAGGTGCAAGGTGCCAAGCTGCAGCAGTTACAGATTCCGCATGCAGCAATAACAGATACAAGGAGGGAGCCAGAAGCAATGACACCCACTCACAGCTATAGGCAATAATAGTTGCAAAGGGTAAGCAGAAATTGCAGTTGCAAGGAGGCATAAGCAATTGCTGATTTTAGTACCAGCAAGATCACAGCGGTAAGGTTTTTGGCTAGGTCAGTTTCAGGTTGGTCATTTTTGGGTTTGGGCTGGGTGTTTCTGAATTTGGGCCATTCACCCTAGACGTTTGGTTAACAAGGTGGATCAGCTAGGATCTTACAATCCTACAGGTTCTATGTGCTGGAATGCTATCCTAGCAAACGAGATTTGTGCTGGGATTGGGATTACTCCAGCCTTTCAAATTCACAGAGTTGTACTTCTACATTTAGGATCACGATTTTTAACAACCATGGGTCCCCAGACAGGAAATAGAAGTCTACTTCTCATGATTTAGGTGCTCAACCCTTTGTATGATGTCAACATTAACTTAGAATTATCATCACTATCAATTCGTCATCATGACAATAATGAAAAACAAATGCTGATAGCATAGAAAGAAATACTAAACACCATAGGGATGATCCCTGTTCAACTTTCAGAGTTTGAAAGAAGGAAATGACAAGAATATGTTGTCACCACAAAGATTGAGATTAAGAATCTTATATAGCAATTCAGCAGTATAGATTATTAAAGTATAGAGATGATAATGGTCTGGTGGATATATATATAAAAGAACGGCGATAGATCAAAATCACCAGGGTCATTAATCCAAATGAAAAATAATATAAAATAAAAAGAGGAGAAGAAAAACCATAATATATTGTTGGCCAGACTGGAAAAGATTGTTTCACTACCTGTACTCTCCTGTGCAGAGCTGCCTGCCAAAAAACAAAAGTCAAACCCATCAATTGGAAGGACATGAATTTGTCAATAAAGAGAATATCCAGTGCAATAACAAACAACAATAAAGAACAAAAGTCCAAAATGTAGTGTAAGGAGGAGTGAGCAACATGCAACAAATTGTCTTCTAGAAGTATTCAAATCATCTATACCATTCTACAGGCAAGAATGCTTCAAAAGATGCATTGCATTTACAATCATGCTTTTTCATGGTCATTTCCATGTAGCTGAATGAAACGAAAGCTGAGACTTAATTTTCATAAATTCTAGAGTAATATCACATCAACTAGGAAAACTAATGCCAACTTTTTGTAATATCGCGACAAGTGTTTCTGCAATCAAACTTAGCTGAAAATGTAGGACGTAGCCAATATTGCTTCTTCTTCTTTTTTTCTTTTTTCATATAAATATTGAGTTCTGTTTCTTCAAATGAAAACAGAACTCAATATATATAATTTCCCAATTGTGTCAAGTCTAACAACCTATTTGGATCCTCTCTTTTTTTAAGCTAAAAGCTACTTTTAAGCTAAAAAAAAAGTTTTTAAAAAAAGCTAAAAACAGTATGGTGATTACATAAATTTTTTAGCTTAAAAGTTATTTAAAAGCCCAAACCTCATTTCAAGAAAAGTTGATAAGAGCTTAAAAAAAAGCTCTTCTTAGGAGCTTTGGCTTTTTTCTTCATTATAAGAGAAAGCTTTTTTTATTACAAGAGCTTTTGTAAAAGCCTGTTTGGCCTAGCTTCTACTTATAAGGAGAATAGAAACTAAAAAAAGAGAGGATCCAAACAGGCACTAAACATATGCTCTATCCCCTCCTCTGAGGCAAAATCATAGTTACTAGGAACGCGGTGCACTTTGGTTCATGGTACGGATTCGTGACATGGTAAGCTGTTTCAGCTCATGGTTCAAAAGCAAATCCAGAAAACCAGTTAACAATGGGCAAAACCACTACCAGCCAGTAGCTTCATAGGTTACTTATAAACGACACTAAATCAAAGTTACTAATGACATTTTCTACCCATTAAATTTATTTTATTGGTTTTCTTCAATTTCTAAAAGTTCACTAACTTTATAGCTAGGGTAACTAACAATGCTCATAGCCAAGGTGGAGTAGAAAGTTAACTAAACCAGACTGTTATATTTTTTTACTTGTTCAATGGTTTTCAACATTGCAGTTGTTATTTTTCAACCAAAGATACAATACAAATGAATAATCAGAACAACATCACTGGGTCCTATGTGGTTGCACATGCACTCTTAATAGTAAAACCAGAAAAATTTCCAAATCAATTCAGAAAATTAATTTCAACCCATTTTGTAAAAATGAAAGAACAAAAAAGGGTTGAACCTGAAATTCTCGGCGGTTTTGGGGGCAATATCAGCAAAGAGTTCCATCTTGATTCTACCAGCTGGTATGTTACCGATGGTGACATCGAAGAAGACGATGGGGTTCTTAGGGTTTTGAGGACGCACGTGCCATTCCACACCCACACCCGTTGTCGTGTTGATTCCACCTGAAGAAGCCATTCATCAAATGAAACCTAACACTCACACTCACAATCACTTCCAACTTCAATCAAACCCCTCCCTTCTAATCAAATCAAATTTAATTACACGGCTTAACCAATCATCATTTTTTTTATTTTTGTATATCCAACCATCATTTTTTAAAATCAACATTTAGTCATCTAGGGGTTTTTTCCTTTTTAAAAAGAGTAAATATCATTTTTGGTCCTCAGCAAATTTTACGATATCCGCTTTAGTTCCTAGCAAATAAAAAGGTCCATCGTGAATTCGTGGTCCCTAAGAAATTCAAAATGAACCCATTTTAATACTTTTAGGGATTAATATGAGTCTTTTTTGAATTTGCGAGGGGCCACGATTTCAAGTAAATGAGTTTATTTTGAATTTTTTAGAAATCTCGATGGACCATTTTATTTGCTAGGGATTAAAACGGAAATCGTAAAATTTGCTGAGGACCAAAAAGGATATTGACTCTTTTAAAAATAAATAAATATTGTACTATAATCTGTAAAAGCCATTAATATTATCTTTATCTACATCTTACAACATTAATAACCTCTTTTAAAAATCATAAAATTTATATCAAATACTTATAAATGTAACAGATTAAATAATAAAAATTATGAACATTTATTAGTGTTACACATTAATTATTAACTGTTAATATTGTTTTTATAAAACGGTCTTAGTTTATTGGAGATGAGAGTTTACCTGAATTATTAAGTGTAATTAAGGGAGAAAATATATTTAATATTACTTTAGACAGTTTTGTCTAATATTCATCGAAACGAGTCATTTTGAGATTAAAAAATGAAAAAATAAAAAAATTAGAATGATAAAAATTATTATAATCTTAAAATAAATTAAAATTACAAATACACTATGATTTCTACCCAAAATGATATCGTTTAGAGGAACATTAGATAAAGTTGTCTAATGTCATTTAAAAAAACCCTAAAATTAATGATAAATTATGAGTGCAAAAATTCTTTTTTGATACCGTATAAATTATTATAATCTTAAAATAAATTAAAATTACAAATACATATGATTTCTGCCCAAAATGATGTTGTTTAGATGAACATTAGATAAAGTTGTCTAATGTCATTTAAAAAAACCCTAAAATTAATGATAAATTATGAGTGCAAAAATTCTTTTTTGATACCGTATAAATTGAATATATATATATATATATATATATATATATATATATATATATATATATATATATATATTTAGGGAAAATATTTGTCATTTTAAATGACACAAAGTTACGTCATTTTAGGAGAGAGATAGACACTAAATAAATTTTTTATTTAAAATTTAAATTAAAAAAACCACCCATTTTCTCTCTCACATGATTTTCATTTCTTGTGTCTATCTCTCTCCTAAAATGACATAACTTATATCATTTAAAATGAAAAATATCAAACCCATATATATATATATATATATATATATATATATATATATATATATATATTTATATATTCACAAAAGTTATATTTTTTAAATCGTAAAATAATGTTATTTTGAAATTATAAGAAATAGTAGGTGAAATATTTTTTTCATATATTTAACATTTTTTATTTTATAAATGAAATTTAAAAATAACTTATCTATGTGATTTTTTTGGAGTTGTGCAACTCACATGAGGTGCACAATTAATTTTGACGAAGAAAAGAAATCTGCGTATTGATATTATATGAAAAAAGTTTTACCCGTAAGTAATATTTTTTTTTTGTAAAAGATGACAATAGATTTTTAGTGTTTTAAAAACAGTTCATGCTTTTTTTTTCTTTAATTTAAACGAAAATATTATCTTTTTTAGCCACAAGTATTGGCCTTTTTTTAGTATATTTAAAAACAAATTATGCTTTTTGTTTAAGAGAGATTTTTTTAAAATTATTCTCTTTTTTAAGAGAAATTTCCTTATAAAAAACTAAGATTATGGAGAAGCTAACAGAAGTCCTCTTTAGACATCAGTGAGGGGCCAAATTGTCTTAAGGAGACACTTTCTGTGGCTCGAATTTCTTACACTATCTTGCATAGAGTGTTCATTCTGTTCTGTACTCTGACATACTGTAAGTCTGTTCCTTATTTTATATATTGCACCACGGTCATGATTAATAATCTCATCAGCTTCATACAATGGTTCAAATCTATTAGTGATTTTAATTATCATCCTAATGCTGAAGCAGTAACCAATTGGCTAAACAGAAAGAAGAACAAATACAAGGATTGTGAGAAAATACTATTTCTCTTTTCTTAATTTTATTTAACCAAAAACAACCTAATAACAATAGGGTTCTCCAAGCCTTAAATAGGCAAAAATAAAATAACAAAAAAAGTAAATAATTATAATCATGCACAATCAAAGGAGATAACGCACAATCAACGCACACTCAAACATAATCTAAAATAACAAAAAGGAAATAACTAGCAATTATTAAAATTCCCTAAATAATGGAAAAGCCCAATCCAAGCGAGTCAGCTCGAGTGTATCATTCTCTTCCACTTGAAGAGAATGATACAAGGATTGTGAGAAAATAATATTTCTCTTTTCTTAATTTTATTTAACCAAAAACAACCTAATAACAATAGGGTTCTCCAAGCCTTAAATAGGCAAAAATAAAATAACAAAAAAAGTAAATAATTATAATCATGCACAATCAACGCACACTCAAACATAATCTAAAATAGCAAAAAGGAAATAACTAGCAATTATTAAAATTCCCTAAATAATGGAAAAGCCCAATCCAAGCGAGTCAGCTCGGGTGTATCATTCTCTTTCACTTGAAGAAGATTCGCCCTCGAATCTGTTTCGTCTTCATTGATATGAACTTCTTCAGATGGTAACCCAGGTGGTAACTCTTCTGGTACAATATCACCAAATTTCCTAATTAAGATTAGGACTTGGAAATGCAATTCTTTGATATGCTTGGTATATTCATTTGTAGTTTGGATCAATTATCGCATCTGTGACCCGTCATAGGAAAACTTTGTCTGATGTACCAGCAAGTCCCATTGCCCTTGACGATCTCCAATTAAACTTTTACCAAAAGCTAAATCTTTATCTCCATGAAGCATAAGGTTGTTATTCTCGTTGTCCCCAAATTCATAATACTGCTTGCAAACTAATGACTTCTTGGATGAAGGATCATTCTGCATGATATCTTTGGGTAGAACTTCATCTTTGTCAGAGATATTAGAATTTCTAATAACTGACTTCCCATCGGAATCACTACAAGAGATTTCTTCCACCTCTGGATTCGGATTCTCATCATCTTGCTCCCAATCATACTTATCATAGATAGGGAACTCGTCATAAATTGGAGCAACCATAACAGGATTCTCATCATCTTGCTCTTCATCATATTCATCATAGATCGAGACCTTCTGGTCTTCTGTCAAGTCTATGATGTCAAAGACCTTTTTTGTAAAAACCTGCACCGTTAACTAAGGAACTTAAGTAATTAATTATGTTAAATTAGAAAATGATTCCATAATTGACCCTAATAATTATTAAGAGGCTTTAATAATTATGTTTAGTGATTAAGAATGTTGAAAGTCACTTTTCGGAAGAAAAGTGCAGATACCGGTTCTGCTAGTCGGTATAAATGCATACCGAAAAAGTATTCTGGAAAATTATAATAAGTGCATGATAATTACTAGAATAATATGTAGGACTTGTAAAACGAGTTTCAAGTCAAAATAATGAGAACTGGTGCCAGAAACTGATACTGGCTATGAAAAGCGCGTACCGGAAAGGTGCTCCAAAAAATATAATAAAAATATGATAATTCTTGTAAAATTGAGTAGATTAAGAATCCAAAGTTTGAGATTAAAATACTAAGCATAGCAATTAAAGTTAATACTGAGTGTTTAATGCGTAAGTGGCTGTAAATACTCCTTTTTTGCACAAAACCCTAGGAAGACCAGATTTTCTACGTGACCCTTCTTAGTGGCTGAGTGCTTGGCACTGTTCCATCGTCTCCTTCCCTTGCCTTCACCATTTCTTCATGGAAAACCACCAAAGGACCACATTTTCTCTTGGTTTTGCCTTGTAAACACCTTGTGATTGTGTTAGGTTGAGTGAGAAGCTTGTGTTTCTGAGTTGGTGTGTAACACCCCAAATTCTAACAATTGATAATAGCATAAATAATTTCAATAATTTTTGTAAATAACAGCGGAAGTTCAAAATAATCAAATTTGGAAAGTGTTACTGCCGCACTTGTACTATGGACAGGTGCAAGGCTAAATTTATTACATTAAAAATAAAACCAAAGACTAAAGTTTAAATAAAGGAAATATGTCTTATGCATTTATTTAAATTTCATAAAATTTCTAAACTTAGAAACTAGCTAGAAATATAATATCCGAGTCGTGATCCTCGCTGCCCACAGCTAGCCCCATCCTTTGCAACATGCTTCACTGAAAATCTGCTCCCCGTGAAGGATCATTGCAGTTAAACAAACACAAAAGTCAGCAAAGCTGGTAATCCAAATCCGATATACGAAAATAAATAAATAAACAAAAAGGATGTAACTCATGATAATCCAATAAAATAATATAACTCAAAAATTCGAATCAAATGTCAACTTGTTATTAATTATATTAATATTTATTTAATCCATTTAGTCTATTTAGTGGGAAGAGAACCATGGTAGACCCGGGGAACCCTGCCAGTCTACCCTGTGACCCGGGAAACCCTGCCAGTCACAAACAAATCACTTTGGCCATAATCAATTCACATCTTCCTAGTGTGCACACCTCTTCCCAAAGTTGCTACTAGTATCCCGGGGAACCCTGCCAGACACCACTTTGGGAAGAACGGATATAATCATTTTCACATCAGTTTCACATCGGAGGCATAAAGCCCAAAAGTTGTGTTCATCACTTTGGGAGGTACCATCCCAAAGCTATCCTCCCACTATTAATTTTTTTTTTTATACAAACATAACAAAATTCCTCAATTTATTTCAAATATATGTAATATCTATTTTTTTGCAACTAACAATTAATTTCTAATTTATCAAAACATATATATATTTTAG